CCAAGTTACTGAATCCCCCTGACCCTACAAGCATTCAAGCATTCTGAAATCTTCAGGAGGAAGTCCGTTCGCACCCTAAACCCTAAATCCGAAAACCCTAAAACCCCAAAACCGTAAAACCCGAAACCCGATTCTAGTAGCAGTCCTGAGTCCTGCAACTCTCACACCGAACCCCAATTTGACGCAGTCCACATGTTAATGCTAACAAAACTAAAACATGTATTCGGGGTAGCTTTGCAGGGATTATATGGGGGATCTATGGGGTTATATAGGGATATCTAAGGTTTCAGGTTTAGCGTTGAAGGCTTTAGGGTTCCTAAACTTAAGGGTGCAATCTTGGCGGCCCCCATAATAAGGACGGTAGTATATTGGTGTCTATGCACCTTGGAAATTCTGAGAAGTCAGTATCATAAGGTCGTGCAGGATTTCAAATATGAACCCGTCCCACCATTCCTGCCTGTGATAACTTCGGTTGGAATCTGCAAGCTCCTGGCAGGAGTGCAATGGATCTGCTAGAACCTACAGTGAACCCTAACAACTCAAAACCTCCAACCCTATGTGAGCTCCTAACCGTAAATCCAACAGTCTAGAAGGTGCGAACAACTCGGGCCTGTAGCTCTACTTCAGTAGAATAGAACAGAATTAGAAAAATGCCGTCCTTTACGAAGGGGCCTAGGTGGGTTGCCATGCTCGTTTTAGGAGAGAGTAGAGTCAGAGTAGAGGCTTGGCATGCTGTTTCTTTGATAAAAAGCTTCTTCCGGTCCTAGGATATGCTTTGGTTCCTTACTGGTTGTTAGTAGCGAATCTGGAAATATATCATATAGGGATTATTTAGGGATAATATTCCCATGTTCCCGACTAAAAACCACTAACTTTCTTTCCAGTCAAAGGATGATTATGGCGGTCGTTGCTACTTCGATCGTACCAACACTTTGGGGTTTTTGGGTGGGGTCACCAAGCAGGGAGCTTTGCATATCCCAGATGAATCACGTTCAGCCTCAGATTGATGGCAAGCAGAGGCACAGCTTCGAAATCTGGACCCGGTCTGTTCTCGAAAGGCCCCCACGTTCATTAAAGAATAAGTCCGCCTACGAGAAAATATGAGAAGTAATTATCATTCTTTGCTTGGGCACCTAAATCCTGAACCCCAAACCCTGTAAACCCCTAAACGCGAAGCCCTAAAGACCCTGCGTCAAACTCTTGCACTCAGCTGCAGCTGCAGCATTTGGAATCTGGGCACAGCTCAAATCCTAATTTAAACCCTACTTGGCCTACTGGTACATCAGGGGGAGTGGGGGAGTGATTAGGGTTTAGGGTTTAGGGTTTAGGGTGGGGGAGTGGATCTAGGTACAAGTCCCAAACCCAGGGGTGGGCTTAGAATGCAAGAGTTGGACAGCACGGTTTAGGATTTACTTCTTAGTTACGGGTCACCTACCCCAAAAGAAACATAGAATTCCCACCTCTTAAACGCAAGTAATGTTTCTGTCAGGGCTCCATGTTCGCTTGGGGCATGGTAGAAAGACTAGTCAAAACCAGTTGACCTAGCGCTGCAGTATGGAGCACGTCCAATATTCATTGCCAGCTCGCCCCCATCTATGTTATTTTCATCAGAACACGAATCCGGTTCCTTGCGACATTGGTGCTTCTTTTTTCGGCACATCTCACCCCTGTGCTATGTAGTATGGTCTTGTGAGAAGCCATCAGCTTCCGTCAAAGACCCTCTTTCTTAAGTCGTTTCCCCGCTTCCCTCCCTGCCTCTTTGCTCCGTGCTCCTCAGAAAGTCCTCATGCTTCATAGTAGGGCTCTTGGTTGAGAGTCAGAATTATAATGGGAATCTGGGACGACAATGTTGGTAATCATTTAGGCTTCTGCGGTGTAGCGCTCTTGGTTTAGAGTCAAGGGGGTTCAGGGCTGAATGTAGACCCATGATTACTTCACCCCTCCTTTTTAAGGGCCTTAACTACATTAAAATCCCTATTATATTTCCCTATTTAGGAGGGGGGCGCTTATTAATCAGGGGTCTACACCCTGAACCCTAAACCCTACACCCTAAACCCTAAATTTCGAGTTCAAACTTCCAGGCCAAGGTTTTGCGGCGAGGGCTTAGGATGTAGGAGTCCCTCAGATTGTCCCTGCATGGTGCCTGTGAGGGCCCCATAAGTCCCCAGAGCCCCCCAAAATCCCTGGGGTAAGGGTATTCCCAAGTTGAGGGTGTAGGGTTTAGGGGTTTAGGGCTTTAGGGTTTTTAGGGTTTCAGGGTTTTAGGGGTTTAGGGTTTATGGCAACCCTGTTGCCATTTCTAAAAGATCCCTAGGGCACCGCTCCGTTTCAAGAAACCCTGAACCCCTGAACCCGAATCCCTAATTTTGACTTCACACTACCGACCCGGCCTGCAATTATGAACATCCCCACGCCACCAGAACATAATCAGCACGAGACCTACACGTTTAATAATCCCGGGCTATATCATCAGTAATTTCAACTGGGTTTTGATTGATTCTGAACAGAAGCTTAAACTGAGACCTGTACCCATGTTTCGACAAACTCCTGAACACTTTACACTAAGACCGAATGTGGCCTTGAGCTCTAATCCAATGAACTTAAACGGTATACTCCAAACGGTAAGCCCAATATCCTAATCCCTACACTCTAAACCCCATACCTAGTGAAAAATGTATTACCAACAATTCCTGGACATCCCGCGCAGGAAAAACAAAAGACCATCAGCCGAGAAACTCCCCTTGAATGAAAAAAAACGCAACCCCTGGACAGAGGGATTTGGAGGGTCTCCTTCATGCATATAAGCCCTTCATGATGACTTTTAGGCCCTTTATCCTAATCCCTAAACCCGCAAAATGTTAACCCCTATATGAGCTGTAGTCTAAACTCCTAGCATCCCCCTTAGTAACCCCTATAGTAGTCCCCTATATAACCCCCTATATATCCCCCTTTAAGGAGTTTAGACTAGGGTTCATATGAAAAGAACCCCTACGTACTGGAGCTAATCCCACCCTAAACCCTAAACCCTTAATCCCTAAACCCTAAAAAATGTTAACCCCTATCTAAAAAAAAATTGGAGGATCTCCTTCTGGCTCAGCCGCCAGCGCTCGCAGATGAAGCTGGGGCCCATGCAGCCCACGGCCCTGGAGGGCACACGGTTTAGGGGTTTAGAGTTTAGGGTTTTAAGGTTTAGGGGATTAGGGTTTTAGGGTTTAGGGTTTAGGGTTTAGGGTTTTAGGGTTTTAGGGTTTAGGGTTTAGGGTTTAAAGTAGACCCCTCGTTTTAAGAGCCTTTATATGATTAGGACCCCTATTAATCGGAAGAGGTTTAATAATCAGGGTCTACATTAGGGTTTTCATTCAGGGTTAAATGGTCTTTTTGTTAGGGTTTAGGCGTTTCTGGTTTGGGGTTTAGGTGGGTTGTGTTCAAGAACTCACATGAAGTTACCATAAGATGGAAACCACAATATTCTGCAGATATGTCTCTAGCATAATTTCAGTTCTTCAACAGCAACCCGTAAGAACAGGAGGAAGAAGTAGAGTTGGGTTGATGGTTTTAGAGTTTAGCGCTGTAGGGCCTAGTGGCCTATGGACGAAGCTTACAGGGTTTTAAGATTTAGCGTATAGGCTTTTGAAAGCACTGAGTTAAAGGTTCTACCTCCTTTAACTGACACACATCGTCGACAGGCCTCCTCAGAAAAGGGCTCTCTTGGTGATAAACTACCAACCTCCCCTTGAAGTGAGCAAACCCCTGAGTCCAACAACCCTAAGACCTAAGACTTCTCTCTGGCGCCTAGACCCTGAAAACCCTCACCCGAGATGCACAACCGTTACCACAAATTCCAAGCCCTACGCCCTTAACCCTAATTCTGAACTTTACCCTGTCCCCTAATGTATGATACTACATAATCAATTTGAATGGGGTTTTGTGGTATACTGATGAAGACATGAGTGTTATGAGGGTTTTTGGTTATGGGGAAGAAGCTGGGTAAGTAATCAGGCTTCTACAATGCATAATCCCTACTATCCCTACAAATCATCATATAAACTCAGCTTCCAGTGGTTCCGTTCTCTTCTCCGCTTTGTTGTCTTGTCTTTGTATTTATTCTGGGGTTCTGAAATACACCCCTACTCTAAACCCTCATACCCCAACCCAAAACCCCAAGCCCTAAACCCAAACCCTAAGCCTTAAACCAATAACCCTGAACTCTTAGACCCTAAATAAGCTCTGAGACCCTAAACCCCTCAACCCTAAACTCTTGAACCCTAAGCCCTGAACTCTTTAGCCCCTACACCCTAAACGCCCCCCCCCCCCCCC